TGCTGAAAAAAAATAAATGAATGAACACAGGTCTTAGATGATATTTCTATTTACATAAATTCACATATCAAAACAGAATAAGAAAGTCGAAAAAGACGTGAAAAAAACTCATGGATTATCGATAGGTGGGGGTGACGTGGTAGAGTAGAGGTGGATTTCACTCACGCTTTATCAAAGTAAGAAGTACTTAGCGACCTTGAGTAGTTGGTCATGTTTGCATTAAGTGCGTTGCTGTTATCGAAAGAGTATGTCTTCCTCGCTTTCTGGTCCTTTGCAAAGTTCCTGCAAGCAGCAAGTTTGGACTCCAGAGCCTGTGGTGAGGGAAGTAAAATGAAGATGGTGCTGATCACGATTCTTAATCATGTATGAACAAAAACATAAAAAGAAACAAAGGAAATGTGAGGAAAACGACTCACCCCTACTTTGCGGAGTAGATCACTGACGATGTTCAGGGCTGATATTCTGGCAGAGGGAGTCAGCGGTGAGTTGCTGCCATAGATGTTTGACAAAACTGAGAAAAATAAATAAAAACCTTTACTTGAATCAAAAGGTGAACATTTACACATTGAAGTCTATACATGCAGCTGTAAAAATTACCATTTACAATATCGACTGGTTATTTAAATGCAGAAAATAGTGGAAATGTTATTTGGCGAGTTGAAAAACCCTGGGGCGACAACCACCACAAATGTCTTTTATATTGAATGGAGCTTTAAATAATATTAAAAGCATATAAGTGCAGAGAAACTTAGGCCGTATACACAAAAGATAAGCTTAAATCTATATATACATATAATCTAATATATTTCAATGAGTTCAGTGATAAAATAATAAATAAATAAATCCTTTTATTAATCATGTTGTTGATTGCTCATTATATAATTCATCACTGCTTCTCTTTTCTACATAAAACAGGAATAAAAAAATACTTTCACCTCTACACAAAAAAACTGACATACAGATAAATATATAACAGCTGTTACTTTAAAAATGAGTGTCAGTTTCCAAGAGACAGAACATACATGACAAACAGGATTCATTTTTGTGAACAAAAAAAACAAACTGATCTGACCAAAACTAAAGCTGTATATGAATGAGACAAATGAACTTAGAGCAAGAGGAGCTGCAGCTACCTGCTGGGTTAGCAAAGGCCTTGTCCAGACCTTTACTCAGTGGGGTGGCAGGAAGTGACAATGAGGCCTGCACTGCAGTGTCCATCTTCACATTGTCCTGTGTGGGCGAACTGGGAGCAGACATCCTGGTGACATCGGTCTGTCTCTCCTTCACAGCTAGCTCTTGTCGCAGGTCTGTAATACATAAAAGAAAGACATCTGGTAATGAACATTGACCAAGGAGGCTGTTGGGAAAACCATTTAATTTAAGAAAGGAGACGCAGCCGCAGAACGGTAACAAGGAGCATGAGCTATAGATGGAGAAGCTTGTAAGTAAAATCCAGTCAATAATCACCTCTGGCTTCATCCTTCAGTCTCTGCACAGACACCAAGAGAGACTCCTTCTCATCCAGCTCACTCTCCAGGAAGGCATTCCTCTCGATGGCCTGGTTCAGACGCTGCTCAAAGTTCTCCAGAGACACAATCGTGGCTCTGACACAAAGAAAAGAAATGACACCTAAATCCAACACATTTACTGATGATTCAACAGAGTTAAATCTAGCATGTGTCAAAAAGAATTTTAAGGGCTTTCCTTTCCCTTTTGTTCATGAATGAATGACTCAAGCACAAATATGGGATCAATATATAATAGGCTTGTTCAATCACACTACTGATTTTTATTCCAGTCAAGGTAGAATTGCTTTGGTGTCCAAAAGCTGAAGGCTGGGGAATAACGTGTTCCCATTTACCTACCTTTTATAATGAAGTAATGGTTTTTATTACATTAACATTTAATAAATGGAACTCCTCAGACCAGTGACCAAACTACATTTAGTTCAGTCATCTCTCCCATCCTTCTCCTCACATACAAAGCACAGACTGCTGGGGAACTCCCATGGTTCACTAAGAATCCCTCATGGTCAATATGTTTGCAGAAAACCAAATTCCAGATGCTGACTCTCGGCTTTCAAAAGTAAAGTTTTAAATACACTTTAAATGCTTTAAATAAACAGCAAACAAAACAAGAAACACACTGTAAATAAATACAAAATATGAGAATAAATACAAGGGTTATTAACCTGAGCACACTAAGTTTCTTTAAGTTCTTCCCTCCCATTTGAATTATATCATGAAAGCAAACTTTACTCTGTCTTTCCGTTAGTTTTTTTTTAATTTCCCAAGCTATCTTCTTTTTCTCTGTCCTCACAGAGAGCTGGTATATCTTACTCGGGGGATGCAGGACGACATCCAGCTCAGCAGCCGTCATCACTCCCTTTATTACTATTATTATAATACAGTCCTGCTGGTGTACATCTGCTCCTAGACTCATTTTACCACACATTCACCTTCTTCCTCTTCTCATATTTTTTTCCCCCTGCCATTTTTTCTAATCTTTGTGAGCACACAAAGCAGATGGGCACACACCCTCAACCTCCTTCAGCCAAAGATTCCTTCCTGTTGGGTGACCTGTATATATGAGAATAAAATGTCATCTTTATTCTCCCCTTTCCCCTTAAAGAATGTTGGTGGGTTATTTTATTTAAACTAAAGTGTGCTGAATTTATTATTTTAGATGTGTTGCATGAATCTGGGTTAAAAAAGATTTTTTTTACTAAGGTGTGCAAAGACCAACCTTTTGGCTCTCTCCAAGTCATCGTTGGACTGTTCCAGCTCTCTGACATATTTGTGGAGCTGCTCTTTGATGCTACGTGTTTGACCAAGGTCGTCCTCCAGCATGGAGATCTGCTTGTAGCCCTGGGAGTACTGATGCTCTAACCTCTCCTAAACAGGAAGGAGGAGGAGAAGAAACAGAGGACAGGTCAAAGCCAGACCAAGTTGAAGACAAAAAATACATACTGTTTAGACAATACCTATAAAATATGGGGCCAAACAGCTGCATTAACTACAGGATTTGCAGTGGTCTGGTGTGGGTCTCATCATCCATTTTTCATTTGGCATTCTCAGCTCTCTTCTGTGGTTGTGAAGTGTAACCTATATATCCAACAGCTCTGAGGTAATCATCTTGATAAAGACCTCTGTGCTTGTCTGACCTACATATGCTGTGTCTGAATCAACTCCACTCAGATGCACGAATATATTTCATATATAGTGACATTTAAAATGAAGCCTATACAATGATGTTCTCAGCATGATGGCCATGTCAACCTGATGAAGTCTCCTCTGAGATCATCTGAAACACAATTAATCTGCCGTACATTTTTTATCAGATGCTTTTCTTTAGACCTGATTTGGGTTACTGTTGTATTTTTATTAACTTAAATCAGTATTGCTAACAGCTCCTCTGGTAACCTTTACCAGACCTTTTTTTTAATAACTGACTTGCTTGTCCAGATGATCCAGACGTAGTCTGATTTCACACCCAGGCACAAGCACCTTGTGCTTGATGTGCATTAAGAGACAAAACATGATTCATCATTAATGAGAATGATACACACATCATCCATTTAATGCCTATATTAGACCAGTCAGTGGCTGAGAAATAAAAAATTCAGAACTGGAATCAATATTCCTAAGATTTGGATTTCAGATCACACTTAAATTAACACTATCAACATCCCTGTGACTTTAATCCTCACTCTGTTACATACGCCTGTTATATCTAATCAAATAATTTGTGGTGTGTGTTGTCCATGTTCCAATGACCAGCCTAATCACATTATATTAGATTGTCCTCTGCACTTTGTAATATAATTGTATATGTGCCCTCAATGTTCCTATGACTGCATAGAACACAAAAATAGGCAATGCAGGAACAACAAGAAGTGAGTCAACATAAATACACATGAGCAGCAGCAGCTGTTACAGCACGACTTTCTCCTCAATCCCAGGGGAAAAATGAAAGATGAGATTAGATGGTGACAAAAAAGGCATCAAATATTTATTCCACAGAGACACAAGGACGTGCTGTACTTACTTTCTCCAAGTTGCTATGTATACTGTTAGTGTTGGATACAGAAGACATTCTGTGGTTACATCAAGAATATTATTTTCTTTCCACAAGTCACAAAATTGACAGCTAAGTTCTAATAATGTATCACAACATGTATATAAATGATAACGTCATCCTCATAATAACCACATGTCTTGTTGACTCTCATACCTTAAGTATTTCCACCTCATTCTTCAGTCTTTGGTTCTCAGAATGAAGGTCTTTCATACGATGCTCAGCCTGGCCCAGCTGAGCCTCCAGCTCAGCCTCCAGCTCCCTGCTTCCCTCCTGAAACTCCATCAGCTCCTCCTGAGCCTCCTGGCAGCTGCAGGCAAAGGATAAAAACATCAGGACGACAAGCAGAGAAATAGAGGAGCGAGAAAATATGGAGGCCTGGGATAAACAAGGCTAAAAGAAAAACTGTTTAAAGATACCATTTTTTGGTTAAGAGTCTGGTTTTATAATGACTCTTGGGACTCCCTCTCAATCACACTGCTAATTACATTTCTTTGTCATAATGCAAGCGGGAACGGGAACATTTTATGTCTATAAATCTATCAAGTGATACCTTACCCCCCTGACAGTCCTGCTCTGACCACAAACACTGCAGCTTCAATTAGATCTTGTTATTATGTGGGTAGGCAATGAACCTGATTGGGGTGCAGCCCAATATGTGGCACTTTTGAGCAGCACTGAAGGCTGAGTTAAAGAACGTAATTATTCAATGGATATTTCTGGGTAAAAAAACAGAAGACATACACTTTACGTATGTTTACAGTTTTTTTCCTGGAGCTGCTATAATTTCTGTTAAAGAGTTATTAAGTTCCTCTCATAAGAAACCTCGCTGCCACCGTTAATTCAATTTATGCTTGGAAAAGTTCTCTGTTCCAGGTCACATCAGAACCGAGAGACTTATTCACATAATCAACTAAAACTACACTGAGCTGAAGCAAATTCTGTAAGAAAACCTCAGAAAATTAAAGCTTGAAAAAACAGTGAGATGCTTCTTGTTAATAATATATTATGTAATATATTTTTTTCAGTTTGGATTCCTTAATGTGAAGCTAACTATGTTGAACATTATCTAGTATTCAAAGTAAGACCTGCTATAATGCACACAGAAATACTATGTCCAATAGAGAGGCACAGATAAGGCAGAGCAACACCAAAATAAAATGATTTGAAATGTAGACACATGACATTCAACATGTCAGGACCAGTGCAAAATTACATGTGACAGAGAAACACCTGTTACCACGCCTGGAAATATGTACATTTCTTTTAAAGACAGTCATATCACAGGACAAAGTATCCTAAAATAGATTCTAACACACCATTACTTTGTGTGTGCTGCTGGTGACACACATAGACAGCTCACAGGAATCCTTCCTCTTTTTGATTCTCAGGCTTCAAATAAAATACAGTCAGTGATCATTGTTAAGGTAGCAAAACTTAGTGGGTCGCTATTTAGACAAAATATAGGTAGAGGTATAGACTAGAGAAAATTTTTGGCATAAAACTGAAAAATGAAACTTTCGTAACGATGACTTGGCCACATAAAACCTGGAAGTTTCATCTGCAGCCCCTGAGCCAGACATTGGCAAGTAGTTTGATCAATTTGATAGCAGTAATTAGAGTGATAATATAGAGTGATAGAGTGATTAGGGATATTGACACAGCTGAATTTAAACCCCTTTACAACACTAAACTGTTACATAGCATTCACAGTGAAACTATAGTACCAGATAGGCACCATCACAAAGACTCATTCAAACATGACAGAACAACATCAGCCTTTGTGGCATGAGAAAAATGAGCTCTGGGAAAAGGGAGGGGATTTCTAGTGATGACGTTGATGCTCATCGCACAAAAGACTCTTCACAGTGTCAGAGGATATGTAAACACTTTTCTAATAAGAGTAAGAATGCATGGGAACAGTCGCTCAAACACTCCTGAAGTAAGGTTTCCACTTTATTGTTTCCCATAGTCAGAGTAAAGTTTATCTGCACATACTGTGACTTTTTGAAGTCGCTTAGAGAAAACAAATGATCAGTGTAGAAAAAAAAACCAAACACCTGCTATCATTTCATCATGTCCTATTATTCAACACCATCAGCAGTTATTTAATCCTTCACTTCCTGCACAGCAGGTTGGAACCTACAGTGCTTTCTGAATATGTTTAAAAAAAAGAAAAAGAAAATTCCCAGGTTTGTTTTACATGTTTGCTTGAAGGTAAGAGTGGAACAAAGTGCCCCCACATTCTGTACATACCCTTGCTTGTATTTAAGACACAGAGTCTTCCAGAAGTCAATCTCCTCATCTTTAGAGGAAAATTTTGGTATGATGTCTGTGTCCATGGCCCTTAAATCTGAGAACAGAATGAGAAAAAACAAAAGTTATGTTTTTTTTTTCTTTTGGGTGTAAAGGGTTGGGAAAGGAAAACACAACATTTAAAGTACACGTTGATTTGGCTGAATTTACAAAACAAACCAGTATAAGGAGGAAGAGATGAAGTGAAAAGTCATGTTTACAAGTATAAACAGATTACTGTATTGTATAGCTCAGCCACTAAGCCATGCAGTATAAACGTCTGCCCCACAGAGATGACTTGTGGTAAATTGATTCTTGACAAAACACTTTGAAATCAGAACATTAATTAAGATAAAAATCAACACAGTTTGAAGATAAAGACAAAAATTAAAGAAGCTGAACCATAAAAATTACCTCCTGATTTTATTACATAGCGCACACACACACTGACATTTTTTCTTTGACAAAACACATTAGTGCTGTCCTAAATAAATGAGTTTTGACGATAAACACTCATGACACCTTAGGGGTTTAGGGTGGAGAACTTTAAATGGATCACAGGTGGAGTAACAACAAGCCTTGCCTCACCCGTGGTCCCGCAAAAGACCGTAGGAATTGTTTTTATTGCATCAAAGAAATAAATGGTGTACCTCTGTGAGGCTACATATTGACTTTTACATTGAAACACGTTTGAAACAAGAACATTTCAATGTATACCTTAGATATTTACACGAGGTAAAAGCGATTGGTCACTGATGCTAGCTTGTATGGCATACATGAAACATATTTTTAAAACGATGTAAAACGATCAATTTATAAGTAAAAAAACAAACAAACAAAAAAAAAACCCAAAACATTAAACTCATATTTTGAAAAACAAACAGTGTGAGCAGAGATGATGCTTCTGCTGAGCTCAGTTGTCAAATCTGGGTGTGAAAACAAACACGCAGTGGAACGAACACACGGCAACCTGACGCTGACTCATCCTAATTTAAACGTAGGAACTAAATGGGAAAATAAAATATATGTGTTTTCAGTACCTGAACATGTGTGTGTTGATCAGTCCATTATTATCGCTGCCGTTGCGACCGTGCGTCCTCTGACTGCTGTCTGAAAAAGACTAGGGTGAGGATAATGAAGATGTGCTGCCTCCACTCAGCGGGATATTTAAAGAAACACACACACACAACTACAATACCTTTTTCATTTCAATTCGAACGTTAACACAATAAATTCGATTATAAACTATGAAACATTATAATAATATCAGCAACAACAACGATAGACGGAAAAAGTAACCGTGTTATCAGTGAATTGTGCCCTACGAGCTACATCTTCTGCTGTGAAAAAAAGTAAATCATTCTTATCATTTTTGTATAGTTTTTTTTTTTAAATTAGTGTGATACAAATGGTTAGTTTAAAAATGTTTGTTCTGTCATTATCCTGCTGGCGAGCTTCACGACTGCGCATCAAAGACGCAGCTGTAAATTGTAAAATGGCGCTATCTTCTGTTCTGTAGAATATATAGTTTGCAACTACAATTATTTTCACGTAAAGTAATCGTCAACATTTTCTCCCCATTTAGCTTAAACCATTTTTATATTTACGTGTTCCGTTTATATATAAACTGCAAAAATATTTGTTTAATGAAACATTAAAAAGTACAATTACAACAAAAAATAGCGGTGTAAAATAGCGGTTGAATATTACATTTAAATCTAAATGTTAAATATGAACACATATACATAAACGTATCTGAGTCTTAATGCTAAATATTATTCTAAATATTAAGTCTAAAAATTAGACTAAAATTAAATTATTACATTTAATTAATTAAAAGAAAAGTTGTGGATAAATAGGTTCGGGCAATCTCAGTTGTTTTTTGTTGTCGGGTGAACTATTACTAAAATTGTCCAAAAAAACAAACCAGCCAAAATACCCAAGTGTAAACATACCACTGAACGAGGTCAACAGCGTATAGACCGTTGCCATAGAAACCATCTTGGGTCCCAATAGAGCCCATCATGGCTGCCTTGCAAAATTTCGGAGGTGTTTCTTCAAAATCCTGGGAAAAGAGGGAGAAAGACGAAGAGGGAAGAGACAGGGAGACACTGATGGACGTGTTTTGTGCAACAGTGAGAGAGGTTTGTGATGGAGACGTAATGATAGAAAGGACAAATGGACAACCCGTTTGTGTCCCGTTATACATATGTATGAACTGATGAAATTTCCCTTAGAGGTCATCAGCTGGGATGGTGTGGAAGAACATACAACAGATCTTAAAGTATCATTTAAATGCCATGAATAATTTAGTAATTATAATTGATAAATCAAATACATGAACACAGAGGTAAAATGTAAGTAAACAAATAAATAACTAGTGAGTGAATATAACATACTTTTATCAACATTGTATTGTTATTACATGTTCTTAAAATCAAGGTGACGTTTAAGTCTAATGTTCTAAATACCATACATTGAATTCCGTGTTTATATTTACATACAGTATGTACACAGAAGTACATGGATGAATGGATGAAAATATTTTCATCCAAAAACTGCAGTAATAAAAGACCACATTAAAAAACATAATAGTATATTTCCACTTACCAGTTTAAATCCTTAACTTCAGACAAACTCAGTAACCTGCAGTGATATGTATTATATACAGTGTCACCTTCTGCTGACCTTCATCACCTGAAAGACAATGACTAGAGTGACCTGAATTGCTATTGCAGCAGAGCTCAAGTGCTGGTGCACGAGAACAAAGGGTTTCCAGGATATGAGCTTTAATAAACACTGGGCTTTGAGTCGACAGAGAAGGGTTCACTCTCTTTCTTTCTGGGAGTAAAAGGCAACAAGGCTGGAACATTTAGAACAGCAGATATGGAGAAATTTGTACCTTTCAAAGAAGAGAAAGCAAAGGAAACTCGGACAAGTTTATTCCAACATTTCATGAATCAGAGGAAGAATCAGCGTGATGACAATGTGGGTTTGAACATTTAAATGTAGTAATACACATTGGCAAAGAAGATATTAGTTTTTTTAACTGATCTAAGCAGATGACAAGTCAAGTTCTGTACTTTCTTTACCTACTGTATCAGTGATTATGCAGATTTTTCTCTCCTGAAATGCTTCTCCTATTGTCTCTGCAGAAGATTGTGCTGCAGCGGCTGATTGTGATTGCTCGTCTGCCCTGTTATCTCACAGAGAGGACAGAAATAGCAGGTTGGTCACCAACAGTTACATCAAAGATTCAAAAATCAGGAGTAAAATATTTCTTTTAATGACTAAATAATGTTATTCTACCAAGTGAATCAAATTTTTGTTTTTTAAGTTTTTTAACAGTCTTTTAAAACTTAAAAACGATCATTGTGTATTTCTTTTATTTTTATATATTTTTGTCTTATTTCTATTCCAATAAATATTTTATATAATTATAGACTTTTGTTATAACATTTACTACAATTTGACATTTGTAATGACTTTAGCACAAGCTGGACTGTGGTGTATTACTTCCTGCTCCTGGTTGTATTAGCACAATGCAGCCAACAACTTAGTTCTGTGTCTTTACGGCCTCCACGCCTCGGAGTGTGAATAGGTCTCCAGGGCCTGACGTGTTACAGCTTTGTGCTTCTTTTAAAGACTTCTTCCACTAAAGCAACAATGAAAACCACAGGAGAGACTGTGACTGTGTAACTGTGCTCTGACAGCAGCACTCAGCTCTGATATCAGGACATTGTCCAGTCTGGGAACTGATACATTATTTTGTTGTCTGTCTTTTCCTAACAGCTCATTATGAAAGGCTAAATTTTCAGATAAATAAGCAGTACATATGGGATCATATGACAGGCCTGCTGCTAATTTATCCAAACTGTGTCCTGCATGTTATTGAAGTAAGTGTTGTTTAGGATATATATATATTTTTTTAAATAAGGTAAAATTGTTTACTCTCTGTGTTGTGGTCTTTCAGTCCTCCAGAGATGTTTTGTTTTCAGTTTTAAAAGATCTCAGAGACATGCAGCAGCAGACGACACAGAGGTCAGTGACACATAAAGCACCCATGAGTTAATTTGATCTCAAACTGTTTAAATGGTTGCTAAATTGTGTTTTTAGTTTACTTGAGGGCCCAAAGGTCATGTTCATGGACCATGGTGCTCAGAACAGACTCTTCCAGCAGTGGAGCTACAAGGTGATTCCTGTGATTTTCCTTTTTCACCATTCAGGCTACGTCCAAATGTGCAAATGTGACAGATTTAATATTTCAAAAATAAAAACCCCAGCAAGCCACCAGTTAATGATAATATACATTAATTAACAATTGATCCCATAGCTGGCCAGTAATATGTAGAAATTATTTTTCACATTTCATCCTCCTAACTGATTTTAACCTGTGTCTGTAAACATGCTTCACCTGAGTGATTCTTTCTGTTGAGTGCAGGTGCTGGATGTAGATCAGAATGGAAAACCTGCAGCTGTAGAACCGGAGGAAGAAGAAGATGGGATAGACACTCTGGTTTGCAGTGTCCTGTCAACACTACAGAACCTGGGCAGACACCTGGAAATAACCAAGAAGGTAGAATTATCCAACCTCACAATCACTTAGGAAATAATAATAATAGTAATAATAATAATAATAATAATATGTTAATGTAGTTCCCTCCCACCTACCAAAGTAAACAAAATCAGCATCCATTGAACATGGGACCTTTGACTCCTCAGGCTCTCCCTGGATTATTGCTTGACGAGTCTCCAGAGCTGGTGGTCTCTCAGGATGTAGTAGGAAAACTCCTCACTCGACATGAACTCCTGGATCCACAGCTGTACCTACAGATGTACGACTCCTCCTTAAATGTCAGACTGACTTTTGGTAAGTGATAAAAACAATGGTTCTGTTATTCTATGATTAAAAGGCCTCACTGGAAAAAAAAGTAACTAAATATCATTTTTCCAACAGGACATGGCATTCAAAGCAGCTGTGTCACCACAATTTAACCTTCTGGGATAAGATAAGTAAGAGCTTTACTTACCATGTATTTGGACCAATGAATTCAGAATAACAAAATAAATATTATGACATTCACTCCAGATCCAAGTTCACCTAAAACAGTAAAAATATAACAAAATCATTTTTGACTGAAATAGACATTTTGTGCTTGTCATTATCAAAGATCTGTATGCACAGGGCATTTCATTGCTGCCAAAGTAAAACGTTTACTTTTGATTTACCTCCTAGTTCACAGCTGTAATAAAAGCTTTTATGTGCCCGCAGAATGTGCATGGCCTTCGCCGCTACACAGCGGACGTGACTGATATTCTTCTGAGCACAGAGACAAATCAGCAGGACACAAGCAGACACTTTTATACCCACATCAACTCACTGACTGCATGTCAATGTAAGACGATACTGTCTGTACATTACAACAAACGCCCAAAAACCCACAGAAAACTTCAAGTCGTATAAAAACATTTTATTAGTGTCAATATTTGGATTAAGACTCTGACTTTTGTTTTGATCATCTTCTTTTATATTACACTTTTTTCCTCCAAGTGACCCACAGACAGTCTGATTTTTAGTTTTCTTCTTCACCCAGTGTCCCCAGTTTCACACAAACAAATTCCATATCTTAAACATTTTTTTGTTAAATAATGTTCTCCCGTGTTAACTTTTGGACCTCAGTAAATGAAGCCAAGAGGGATAGTTGAATGCTTTTTTAATTAACTTATATATAAAGATACCAGGGAGGACAGAAGGGAAACTTGATGTAGCAAATCTAAACCTGCATGAGTCAGGGCATTCATTACATGTCCATTAAACCATCTTTTTTAAAAATTCTTTTTTAGGTTTTTGTTGCTTGTAGCCTATAAAACCTTCCTACCAAAGTCCATAGACAAAATCAGTCGATCCAACGTTGGCTAAGTTTGAGTTCAAATTTGTATTGTTTGATTTCAAGTTCTTTTTATGAAGTCTTTGTTTTGAATTCTCTTATTTTGCTTTAACTGTATTGCCACAACTTACTAAATGATGCAATAGGAAGCCATGGACCTCCTCTCTGCGGAGTCTGCGGTCTGCGTGTGACAAAAAAATTTGATTTTTTTTTCTATGGGCTTTGATGCCAAGGGGAAAAGAAGGTACAAAACAATAACTTTCTCCTGTTTCACCAGTGTTTTCACTCAAAATGCAACCCAAACTGGAGTAAGACTAGGGGGAGTTGAAATTTTTTGGAACCTTCAGGAGTCCAACCACTTCACTCTCTGGTTCTATGAGATTTTAATAATACACTTTTCATTAATCATATGTAGACACAGTAGTCCGTGGACTTGAACCCAATCACTAGTGTCCAAACCAGCAGCCATACATATATGTTCAGTGATCACAAAAAAGCGTTTTTTTGTGGTGAATTGTCTCTTTAGGTTCAATAACAATGGTTAACAATAATAATAATAAAAAAGACGGTTTAAGGTTAAACTGTGATGGCTGCGTGGACTACAGTACATTGACACTTAAAAGCAGTCTGGGTAAAATATTATTTTCTGTTCCATCATGACGTCTGATGTTATAAAGGTGTGGAACAAAGGCAGGTAGATAGATTTTGTGAGCAAATGTCAAAGGGAGCACTGGATTATTTCTTCTTCAGGAATGTACACCATTTTACTTACAAAAATAAATAAATACACAGCACATTAGGACAGAACCAAGGAGGAGACGCTTGGCCAAAAAGCATGCTGCTGAATTTTACACAAGACAATGCCATATAATTTACTTTTGTCCCTTAACATTACACACTTTGATATTCCAAAATACGCCCACAACACACACATTTCTGCCTGTGAACACACACTTTATCCTTAGGACTTTCTAATATTTCTTTCACCAAAAACAGGCACCTTCAGAGTTTAGTGCTCAGAGGACATGCTGGTCAAAAGATGCATGACGAGGGACAATGTCTTTTTTTAACTGTCTCTGCATGACAGTGTTATTGTAATAAAGTTGTTTTTTACGATTCCTATATGTACACATTTGATCTGACACTTTAAAAACAAAAGAGATAGGCAAAAGGAAAATATTTGGGCAAAAACAGGACAAACTCTGCCTTGAACTTTTGTTTCTTCTCTGTCTCTTATAAATGGACAGAAACATTTCTGATAAGAGAGAAGTCAGGAGCTGGGTGTGGAGCTAACAGAGCTAGAATATTGAGGCAAAAGTATTTTATAAAGCTTTTAAAGAGGTATTTTTAAAATTGAAATACAGACAGAGTCCTCGGGTCAGGTCAACTGTTGGCTTAGTCAAAATCATGAGGGTCCTTATATAATTTCCATATCTAAAGGCTTCACGTTTTTCTTACTGAAAATAAGGTAAAAGTGTGTTTCAAATGGCTTCATAGCAACCCCTGCAAGATAGGGAGGGAAGCCATCAAGCTACAGTTTTTTAACACTAACTGTAAATGCTCTACTTTGAAATTTTAACACCTACATTATGCTTTGTCGTAATTGATGAAAATAAAGATGATATGTAATGATCTATAACATTTTAAAAGTTAATCATGTTAATCATTTTGAATTGACAAAGATTTAGTTTTAGTCGAGTTAGATATAATTTATTTCGTCAAAAACTACAGACTTCAAGCCACTGGTTTCCAAAATTGGGGGCGGTGGATGGGGACTAATCGCAGCAGGTCTAAATCATTTTAATTGACACAAATTTGCTTTGTTTGCCAGAATTGCACTGACCTGTAATTATTTCAGGAATCAGTGTTTTCAAATTAAACTGTTAGTGAACTGTGTCAAAAGCTTCAAAACAGATTATAAATTATGTAACATGAAGGAACAAGCTCTGTCACTCTTTCTTACACACAGGAAAAAGGATCTTCCTTCTCCAGTCAATAATCTGATTAGTAAACCACCACTAACGGCTTTTATTTTGAAACAAAATTGATATTTAAAATTTAATCCTGAACCTGAAATATATTTTACTTTTCAAATAAAATAAAATTGAATCTCAGTGAATTCTACTGTTATTTGTATTAATGTGGGGCTGAACCAGCAACAGTATATTATTATATTTACAGTATGTTATACCACTCTTTTAATAGAGCATTTATTTATATATGTATAGCTCTAATCCCTTTTCTGTTTATATATATATATATTTATATTTAAAATGGTCCTTTTTCAGTATATACAGAACACGTATGTACAGAGGTTTTCATATTTACAACAGTCCAGCAAAAACTTCACACTAAAGAAAATGGACGGTGACGCAGCACAGTTTGAGGCCATATGAAGTGAATGTTCTGTATCAGAGGCAACAAAGAGCTGCTGCAAGGCTTTTAACAATCTATTGCTGTCGTACTCCATACAATTGTTACTTGTCGTGTGACATCACAAAATGTTTTTGTGTATGCGACAACAGAGAATTTCTGGTCCCATGCTCCAACACTCTACTTTAGGTGAGATTCAGTGTAGTGGAGATGATGGTGGCTCCTTAGAGCCAGTGAAAAGGTTTCAGAAATATTTCTCCATAAATACTCTCAAAAAAATAAATGCACATCATCACATACTGTATTTCTTCTTTTACCTATGACTCATGACATGACCAAAAATAGCTGATTGATGTATACATGGGGAATGTTGGAATTTGTTTGTTTTTGTTGTATGTTTTTTTCTGGGCTTTTTTTCATGTCAGGGGAAAACCTTTCCATCCTCAAACATTTCATGAACAATATCCTGTACTCAGACTTACCAATACAACTTAAAAACAATTATTGACAACTATTGTCTCAAATGTAGTCAACAGGAGTGGACCACTCCTATAGACTTGTATGAGCCAATCTTAGGCAATGAATGTTAAATATCCATGGGAATAAATGTAACATATAATGTCTTGGGTATGAAATTCAGGTTTTTCTCTCCAAGGAAAACTGAGCTATTATAATTATCATGTCACAAATCTGATTTACTTCAGTTTGATTCAGTTTTCCTTGATAAACTGTATCTCAAAAATCAAATAGCTACTATCTTACAGAAACTTGTATTTTTAGGTATAAAAAGGCTTTTCTTCTGACTGTTTCCAATGCTAACCCCTTCAAATACAGTATAAACAATAAATATTTTTAAACTCTGATCGGTGTCCAAAGAGGAAAAAAGCATGAGAGGAAGTTAAAACACTCTGCAACCCTATTCTATTTTTCCTTCCCATTTACACAGTACCTCATTCTACAAAACCTTATTAGTGCAACATCACATCACACACTAACAAAACACAAACACAGAGACACACACACTCAGATTGACACAAAGACCCACTCACAAAGCACAATTGCAATGGCATAGAAAATTCAGGCTGTAATGAGTGAGTGAATGTCAGAGTGAAGCATTTGAACCAACCACTGCTGAGGACTGAAGTAGCCTGAAGGATGAAGCAGACACCTCGGCTGTTTGCAGGACAGAGACATGTCCAGTACCCTGTGGATCTCCCTCTGAAAGATTCTTTGAAAAGCAGAAGTAAAGATGATTTATTACTCTATGCTGTCTCTTTCTTTTTATGTTTCTGATTTGTGACATTAAAAGCAAAGAATAAAATAAGGCAAAAAATATATATATATAAAAAAAAAATTAAAACATTCTATTTAAATATTTCCAGCCACAAAAAATATGAAAAAGTTTCCCAAATAAATTGCCACTAACACCCTGGGTGATTGTGTATATTCCATTTTGACCTGTTGACCTCATTGCTGTGTAGGTGATGTTAGTGATATCCTACAACATGATGTAAGGTCCAGCTGAAGAGGTGGCGGTGGACACTAGACATGGGGCTTTGATTAACGCACGAACACCAGCATCAGTGTGAGCTATCATTTTAGATGGTGGAGTGGTGACCAGGGTGTGAGTGGCATCATAGCACTGTGCTCTCCGACTCTTCCTCCGACTCTGCTCTGTTCGGGGTGAATTCAAGCAGCGGCCTCGAGTGTCTGAAGGAGGAGATGTGGGGCAGGTCGAAAATACCGTCCAGTTCCATGTTAATGATGGGGATTTCCAGGTTGCACAGAGAATCTGGTAAAGCAAAAAAACAGAAAGTGAACAAAGATAAAACTATTATTATTAATCTCTGAGGAATTTTATTGGAAGTTACTTATGGTTTTCATGCTGGTTCAGTTATGCTGAATAATGAAACACAAAGCATATGGTTTGTCAACGAAAGAGTCATTACATAAAGACGGACTAACCCACCTGGTGTACACGGTGGGGTGTTCCTGCTGCAGGACTAAATGTGGTCATTTTGGTTCAAGCACTAACACGTGCTTTCTTTTTTTTGACAGTGCTTAACTTCACAAACCACTACCTTGAAGACTGTTGCTCAAATGACCAGTACAGAATGGTCGCAACTGCATCCAGAGACCTGGGTCCATCTTTATATAAGGTCTATGGTCTATGGTAACACAATAAGGTGCAAATACATAAAAAATGAAAACTGAGGAAGCATAATTATATTAACCTGTATTATAATGGGATATAATAACTAGGAGATACCAAACACATGCTTCATCTGATGTAAATTTTAGATTTTCTAATCTGTGTGTGCCGACAACAGTGGTGCTAAATAGTTCATGTCTTGACCGTTGACAGGACTTTGTGCAGAGCAGTCAAGATCTTTCACACCAAATACAGGAAATATTCCTTCATGGACCTTGATGCAACTACAATGTTTAAACTCCCTCTGGTGAAAGAGAATTTATTCAACACTCAAAGCCCGGTTTATCTGGAACCTTGCTTTGGTCTTTTACCCACTGTGTCAACCGTGAAGATGACCACGTCCTACGGTACAACAACGTGCAGAGACAAGGAAGGGTCGGCACAGACTAATGGATTCAAACTGAGGAGTGAAGAGGGAGGCGTGGGCGCCAAGAAGTGTCAAAGCTGGGGTAGGAGGTGGTTTAGGTTCCGCTTAGTCTGGAGGTTAAGCCATGCATCAGTCACAGCCACCGTGCAAAGGCCAACAAGGGGTGGACTGAACAGAGCAGCAGTGTGCTGGAGTACAGGTCTAGCAATTCAGCTGGATCGGCTGTTCTCTGGGGGGGTCTGATAGTGACACAACCAAAGGCAGCAGTGAATCAAAATGTCACAGTGAGCAGGTGCAACGTTTGGCCAAGGTGGTGCAGGGATTTGTTTTAGGTGAGAGGTGAAGGTCGAGGGATGGCATGACTTCAGCACAGGAACTCCTGCTTACCCTAAAAG